GTTGTGCTAACTTTAGTCTGTGCTAAGATTAGTCTGTACTAACATTAATTCATGCTAACATTGGTATGTGCTAACAATAGTCTGTGCTGATGTTATCTGTGCTAACATTAGCTATGCTAACAATAGTCTCTGCTAACATTATCTATGCTAACATTAGTCTGTGCTGAACTTTGATCCATGCTAACCTTTACCTCTCCTTCCTGACTCGTAACATTGAATGACTCCAAAGAAATCCAGAATTGATCTTTCGGTTATCACGTCTATTTGTTTACAGAATCTCTGGAGCTCATCGCCACAGCAGCTGAACACTCCAACGCTGCCATCAGGAAGATGGTAAACTTCAAACACACAAACGGATAATTAAAAAAAAAGATTCATGAGATTTATTAATAGAATTAATAAAAATGAGCCTAAAAAAAAATCACACAAGATCACAAATATTTTTTGAATAAGGGTGAGCTACCAGAAGACCATACAGTTGTTGCCCCTCTAAACCAACGGCAGTCACAGAGCTGAGTTTGTCAGTATGTGTGGCGAAAAAGGAACATGCTGATGCCACTCTGCTTGGCCAAGAGCAAGAGCACTGATGTGGAATAAAACCTGCAACTGCACTTTATACCACTTAACTGCCTGTAACTTCATCTCCTGCTGCTCCATCGCTTGTAGCCTCACTTCCTACAATTCCATGTCCTTTAGATCTATTTCCTGCATGCCCACTTCTTGTAGTGCTACCTTCTGTAGACCTGCTGTAGCTCCACCCCATTTTCTGTAGCCTCACCTCCTACAGCCCCACCTACTTGAACCCCACCTGTCATTCCCCTATCTGTTACGGAACCCAATCTGTAGTGTAGTTCATTTGCGCATGCGCTAAAAGGAATATTTCCGGGTCACACGGATCGCCGTTCAATATGCTAGATTAAGGAAAATGTACTGGTATATTTCCATTTATGAATAAGAACTGTTTTAATTTACTTAGAAAAGTATGTGCTTTATCTCCACTGATCTTCATGTTGCTTATTTACGCCACTCGTATTTCCGTTAAAATCTTTGACATATTTACATCATGGTTCAAATGATCTGCAGCTTCACCACTGAGCGGTGCTGTTTCACCATGGAAATAATTAATTCTGTGTCTTGCAGGGTGTTCTTCATTCAGCCTAGACTGGGTGTGTGTGGGGTGGGGGGGTCAGGTCTAATGCGTCCCATATCATCTTAACCAATGATTTGTAACGGGAATACGAGTGGTGTAAATTAGCTACATGAAGGTCGGTGGAGATAGAGCACGTACTATTCTAAGTAAATTAAGACTGTTTTTATTCATAAACAACGGATATCGGTGCGACCCGGAAGTACACTACGGATAGTGCTTCCGTAACAGATAGGGGAATGACACCACCATTTCAGCCTCATCTCTTGTAGCTTCACTTCCTGTAGCTCCACCTCCTGTCGCTCCACCTTCTGCAGTTTTTCCTTGAGGATGATGTGGTTGGATTTAACATCTGTTGTAGACTCATGAAAAAGTGGAGGAGGAACTTCCAGCTCCATCATGGTGTCTCCTGAGACCCTGACGTGTGGCTTTGTGTTGTGTTCAGGAACGAATGAGGAAGCTGCTGAAGGTTTACGAGTTGTTGGGAGGAGAAGAAGACATTGTTAACCCAACTAATGAGCTCATCAAAGAGGGCCACATCCTGAAGCTGTCCAACAAGAACGGTACCACGCAGGACCGATACCTCATCCTGGTACTGTACTCTGCTCCTTGACCTCCGACCAGAACCTTGACCCGTGTCCTGGTTCTGAAGCAGCTCTAACGACCCTCCTGTTCCTCTGCAGTTTAACGACAGACTGCTGTACTGCGTTCCAAAGCTGCGTCTGATTGGTCAGAAGTACAGCGTCCGCGCTCGCATCGACGTGGATGGAATGGAGGTGAGACTCTCTGTAACTTTAGATCCTGAACCATTGGACCAGATGGATCGGGTTCTAGGTCAGCAAAACTAACAGTGAATGTTTACGTCAACAGCTGAAGGAGACGAGCAGTGCCACTGGGTCCAGAACCTTTCTGGTGTCCGGGAAACAGAGATCCCTGGAGCTGCAGGCCCGGTACACACACACACACACACACACACACACACACACACACACACACACACATACACATACACATATTTATTATGATGCGTAACCATGGCAACAAGGCAGTTTTCTACAACCAACAGCTGATTAACATCTCAAAAGATCAAATAATATCTCAGCTACAGCCCCAAATCTCAAATGAGTTGAAAGGATGTTCTGTGGACGCATTGTCATCAACCTGCCAGCTGTGCTCGAGTGCCTGACCACTGAGATCCTGGAACTAGCAGGAAACACGGCTCATGACAGCAGAAGGACAGGATCGTCCCTCAGCACCTGCAGTTGTCTGTCCACAGATATGAGGAGCTCGGCAGACTGCTGGGAGGAGTGGCCATCACTCTGGGAGGAGTTCTGCCCAGCATTCAGGAGGTCCTACAGCCCGGGGGAACCGAGAGGTCAGCCGAGTCTGGGTGGACGGATCAGACGGCATCTGCAGCCAGTTTCTTAGGATCCACTGTGGGATGGACCTTTACAAGAGATCCTTCCTGTCTACAACATCAGCATCTATAACATCTCTTAATGAAATGAGGATAACGAGTTACAACAACAAATAATTTCCATTTGGGATTAATAAAGTATTTTTGAATTGAATTGAATTGAAACACACACACACACAGAATGGTAGGTCCAGATATAGGTCCAGGTGTACCTGAAAGACAAAAAACCAAACACATGTTAAGGATAGAAAAAATAATTACAAATACAAACCAGGTTGAGCAGAGTAAGTAAAGAAGCAGCAGAGTGAACATTGTGGTCAGTTTGTCCTCCAGCAGTCTAAGTCTATAGCAGCAGAACTAAGGGACAGCTCAGGAAACCCAAGCTGACCCTAACTGTTGGACTCCTGGCAAGGACCATTGTAGACATGTTCCTGTTTTTAGTTTTCTACATTCGCCTTATAATCTAGCTGTTTTTGTTACTTTTTTTGCCATTTTAATTGTAAAAAATAAAATCTGTATGTCCTGATGCATGCTCAATAATCCAGGTAGAAAAATCCAAAAAAGTTAAATCTGGTCCTCTGGACATTCAAAAAACAAAACAAAGTAAAACAACAAAAAAATGTAGAAACGTTTCGTCTCTCATCCTGAGGACTTCCTCAGTCTGAGGAGCTGTATTCAGCTCAGTCTCTTAAATAGCACCTTCTCAGAGTGGATCAACCAGTTTGCTGCTGACAACCAGAACCAGCTGATCACATGCTCAAGAAGGACCATCAGCCTAACAATGGATCATTAGCACCTGATGGCTGTTTACTGTTCACAGAGGGCTGAGTGATACTAGCAATCACAGCATTGTAAGAGGGGGACAGTTGAACCTGGAGGCTCCACCCCTGTTTAATGATGGACGGTTTCTTTTCACAAAGATGGCCTCCTTTACTCCTCTCTCAAACCATCGTTCCTCTCTGTCCAGGATGTGAACATCTTCATCCCTGAAAGAGTGACCTCTGGCCTGGAGATGAGTGTAGACC